CTACTCTCTCTCTCAACACAAATTAGATCTCTCTCTCACATATATGTTCCTTCGTCTTGTATTATCATCATTATATATATATATATATATATATATAAGATAGGAAAAAACCTGGATAGCATGAGATAAGTTCAAGCTGTGAGGTCAGAACAGCTTCTGTGGAGTATGATAATCGTGGTCTTGGAGACCAATAGAGTAGAGAGATGAAGAGAGCAGAGGGATGAAGAGAGCAGAGAGATGAAGAGAGCAGAGAGAATTGTGAGCAGGAGAGAGCGGAGAGGAAAGAGAACTCCAAGAGACCTGCTGGAAATGAGGAAGGGTGCTTCCTTATATAAGAGAAGGGCGAGGTAGCTTAGCGAGGAAGGAAGAGGAGAAAAGCGACTTGATGTGACCAAAAGAGGGGAGAAGAGACGTAAAGTAAAAAAGGAAAAGACAAAAGAAAAAAGAAGATGCTTAAAGAAGCATCTTAAGCAGTAATATTTGTCGTCTTATGTCGGTAGCACAGTGCCGGGTTTGTCGTATGTGTCAGCAGCCACAGTGTCTGCTTTATCGTATGTGTCGGTGGCCACAGTATATGGTACGGAAAGCATCCTGGTACAGTATATGAGGTGACTTGGTACGGTGTAGCATCTTTATGGTCTTTGGCTGAATTCATTGGGGTCTTCTTCTTCTTCTGGGTCTGTTTCTTCTTTTGGGTCTATTTCTTCTAGTGGGAAATATCTATTATTGTGTGTTGGTGAGGATTGTATTGTTTCATCTGATGCGACTGGCTTTCTGCCTGCTTCTGTAAAGATTTCCTTCATTTGTTGTTCCAAGGTTTCTTTAGAAGCATTTGGGTTTGATTGGAGCATATTTCGTAAATATGTGGTGGAGAAGTCAAATGAAGTATTGGCTGTATTATATTCACTTGGACTTGGGTTATATATGGGTTTTTGTGGAGGTATTATTTTGGGAACTATGGTTGTTGGATCCATATTAAAGATGTCCCATCATTTGACTGAGATGGTTTTGCCCAGTCTTGGAATATAGGTATGGTCGGCTGTATTATTAACAGAGATTGAGTATTTCCATTTCATAATTCATGGGAGTTGGTATAGTGCAACAAAGTATAAGTGATTGTCTGTATTATTATTACTATTGTTGAATATCACGAATTGTTCCTGCACTTTTTGGAAAGCAGGAGGTAAAATTGCAGTAGTTGATCCCCAGACTAAAAACCAATTTTTAAACCAGTTGGGGAATCTTTCGAAAATAGGTAAACGGAACTGAATGTACCAACTATGAGTATTGTTTGGATTTTGGTAATAAAACATTTTATACCATGCTTCGATGTATTCGGCATACTTATAGCATTTATATGAAAAATCAGGATTGTGTAGTTTTTTCCCTTGAGCAGGATTGTAACCCCACTCATCATAAGAAAGTAACTTTTTGATCTGGATTTTGGAATATGCAATTACTCTAGTATTTTGTTGATAATAATGGACAACAGAGATGGATCCTGTTTCCATGAGAATTGCTTCATAGTATTCTCTGATTTTGACTCCATTAATGGGATTCAGAATTGCTTCGTAGTATTCTCTGGTTTTGACTCCATAAGCTATGCTCTTTCAATATATGAAGATCTAGGAAGATTAGGCCTTTGGTTTGGTTTTGATTGCGTTGGAGTATAGGCTGGAGTAGATGTATTATTCTCTGGGTAAGTGATTTGGTGAATAGGAGAAATGGAAGGTGAAAGGGTTGCCAAAGGCAGGTACTCACCTTCAAATGGTATTATAGTCAAAGGGTGTTTCTCATTGCGAGAAGAATTGCTACGAGAGCCCATGAGAGTAGGTGGATTGGATAGAGTAGGTATTATTTCTATTAGCTGCAAAGAGCTGTAGTACAAGTGATAGTGGTGAATCGTTGTCGTTGGCGTCAGTGTTGCCCCCTGCAAAAATTCACGGGTGAGAAATCAGGAAGAGAATTAAAAGACCCGGGAAGGTGTTCACTAGTAAAATCAAAAGCAGACAGGATAGCCTACCAGCGAGCGAATATTTGTGTGGCAACAAGATTTTGAACATCTTTTTGCAGAATATCTTTAGCGGCTTTGCAATCAGTTCGAATAAAGAATTGTTGATTGAGAATATCACTTTGAAATTTTGTAACACAATGGACTATGGCAAGTAATTCTTTTTTTACCATAGAATAGTTTGGTTGGGTTGCATTCCAGGCTTTAGAGATATACTTGAGTAGTTGTTCATGATTATCAATGCATTGCTTGAGAATACCTCCCAATCCCAATTCGGAGGCGTCACATTCAATTATTTTGAAAGCTGTAGGATGTGGAAGAGAAAGACAAACTAAGGTTTTAACTTTTTGTTTGATTAGTTGAACTGCTTTAGTGTGAATATCTGTCCAGGGTGAAGGGTTCTTTTTTAATCTATTATGTAAAGGTTTAGCGTCTATAGCAAGATTAGGATAAAAGTTACTAACATAATTTAAACATCCTAAGAACCTTTGAAGTTCTTTCTTATCTAATATTTGATCAGTGAATTTATCAGCAAATTGTATGGATCGATCTATTTGAATAATAGTGCCACGATGAATATTGTGCCCTAGAAACCTAATATTGGTTTTGAATAAAGTCATCTTTCTTGCTGATACAACTAATGCAGCATTTTGGACTGCATGAATAAAAGTATTAATATGTTTAATATGTTCATCTATAGATTCAGAAAAGATTAAGACATCATCAATATAAACTATATGTTTAATATGTTCATCTATAGATTCAGAAAAGATTAAGACATCATCAATATAAACTATCATAAATTGATAATAAGCATTAAAGACATCATTCGTTATTTTCTGAAATTCTGATGGAGCATTTTTTAAGCCAAAGGGCATTACATTCCATTCATATTGTCCAAAAGGTACATTAAATGCTGTTTTATATTTATCTTGTTCTTGAATTTGTATTTGCCAATATCCTGATTTCATATCAAATTTGGAAAAGATACAAGCATTGGCTACTCTATCTAATAAATCCTTTTTATTGGGGATAGGATATCTAATCCATTGTAATACTTTATTGAGGGGTTTATAATTAATGACTAATCGAGGAACTCCTCGTTCCTTTTCAGCATTTTTATTGACATAGAAAGCTGCGCAACTCCATGGTGATGCGCTTGGTCTTATTAACTTTTTTGTTTGGAGATCAGTAATTTCTTTCTTACATATATCTAATAAAGTAGTATTCATTTGTATTGGTCTAGCTTTTGTAGGTATTTGTTTTTCATCAAATCCTGGTTCATATGGTAGACTAATAATATGCTTTTTCCTTTCCCAACTGGTTCATATGGTAGACTAATACTATGCTTTTTCCTTTCCCAAAAAGCATTGGGATGCTCACTACATATAGAGGTTTCGATTTGTTGTTGTATTAATTGAATCTTTTGTTGAATCAAATGATTCTGTATTTGCTCTTCTATATATTTATATTTAATTTCTTGTTTTTAAGTACAAAGAAATTTTTCTTTATTTTGTAATTGACTTTTGACATTATTGATTTCTTTTAAGTTTGGTTTATGAATGAAATCAAAGTGTATTGGTACATTTTGATAATTCGAAGATATTCCTGTTTGATCTATTGATAAGGGATATAATAATGTAAGAAATGGGACTCCAAGTATTACTGCTTGGCTTAGTCCTTTAACCATAATAAATGGTGTATTTATACATTGGTGATTATTACAAACAGAAGCATTAGATAACTTATAATTGATAAAGAGTCTACTGCCATCTGCAGTATTTAGGATCTGAGTTGTTTTGTCAAAATATTTTGATGGGACTAATCCTTCATTGATGCAATTAAGGTCAGCACCTGAGTCTATTAAAGCTGATGTTTGAAAGCGATAATCTTTTGCTACTATTATAGTGACTTGAATAAACCATTTCTGAATCATAATTTTATCTATCAGATTTACAGAGGGAATTGTTACCAGAAGTAGTTTAGCTTTTGAGGTTTCTGGTATATCTTCTGGTGGATCTGGACTATATGTTGTAATAAGATGATTGAATTCTAATTCATCTGTATCAGACTCTTCATGAGATAAATTTTGTAATTTTAGAGTTTTAATTCTATTTTTTAATTGGTGAACTTCTTTTTTTATTTCTTTAATCTCATGTTTCAAGTCGGAAATAGAAGGTTCTTTGTGTTGAGTACTATGTTGTTCACTTACTCTTTTCATAATAGAGGCAAAATTGTATTCATCAGATGTTTTATTAATAGGAGATGTTTTTGCTTTTGCTTTAGTTAGAGTAATGAATTTGGTGATTACAGATCTTTTTTCTTCTGGATCTGTAATTTTTTCAATAACATCTAATATTAGATTATCTTCTTGGGTAAGCATATGAAGATTATGTGTAGGTATAGGGCAAGTACAATTAGATTCGTTCATTGGATGAGATGATTCTATATCTGTAGAAGAATCTAAAGAATCAGATGATTCTGTCCATAAAAGATCATCATCTTGAATATGTTCTATATGTGATCCAGTAGAATCTGAAGAAGTAGAATCATAATTGATTATATTATATAATTTTGATTTGATTGTTTCATCTAAATGTAATGATTCTATTTTTTTTTTTAATTTGCATTGGTGTTTGTAATGACAAACTTTTCCACATTTATAACATATTGGAAGTTTCTTTTTATTTTTTGTATTTGGAGAGAATTTGTTTATAAATTTTTGTTTAGATCTTTTATATTGTTTATGTACTTTATTGGATTTGGATTTATATTTGTATTTTTTCTTTTTCTTATATAACTTTTTAGGTTTATTTTTTCTATCTAAATGGTATCCAAATTGTTCACAGAAATAACCAAGTTCTTTACGCTTGGTAATTTGTTGTTTATCTAACTGTCTTTTGAGTTTGAGATCAGTACATAAAGCTAATCCTTCAGCACATATTTCTGCTGAGAGTTCTCCAAGTGTATATGCTGAGTATACTATAATTCCATTATGTTTCTTTCTAAGTCTGTCTTTGACTTTTTCTGCAAATAAATAGGGTAGACCCGCAATAAATTTTTCTTTGCAATGGTCTAATTGACAGTCTTCTCGTATTAATAATCTTGAGAAAAAAACATCCTTGTACCATTTATAATGGGATAATGTAGGACAACGAAGATTAGATAGCAGATCTTCTGATCTTGCTGCCAATAAGGCCGTACTTCCTACAAAATGTAGTGTAATGGTATATATTAAGGTGTTTACTGCATCACTTTCAGTATAAATTATTTCTTGATTTTGTTCATTCCTGGCGGTCCAATGTCTTGTATTGGTAAGGATTCTATTTTTGGTTT